GTTCACCTCAGCAAAAAGGTACCTGGGTTTATCGACTGGTGGGGTCGCTCCTGGGGCAAGATTAAGACCCCAAGAAAAAATTTTGACAGCCCGATGACGCACTGACTTTTTGGTTATCCTGGGTGGGGTAACCCTCCGAGGGTTAAAAAACCCAACAAATCTTTTCTTTATCTTATCTTCCATACTGTTTTTCCTCCCCGCAGGGATTCCCTGATCCATTGCGTACCCCCCCCTGTTAATGCACCTACCTCCAGCTTCTGCACTAATCTCTTGTGGAAACGGTCAAAGTCTTTTTCCCTCAGGGGGGACGAATCAACCCAACCCCCTCTCTCCTCGTGTCTTACTTCTGTTACCTTTTCATAAAACTCCAAAGGGTTTTTGACACAGGGTTTTCCTTTCCCAAAACCCCTACTGGTTTTCTTTATAATCTTGTTCCGTTCCAGGGTTTCCCCCCCTCTCCTCCTGATAATCTTCTCCATGACTTTGCACACAAAACATGTCAAGACACAGGCTTAGTTTAGGCCTCATTTCTTTCCCTTTTTAATATGGGACTACATTTGCTGTCTTCCATTTTTCAGGGATTGCCCCCTTTCAAGGGATGTGTTTAAGATTTTGGTTAGGGCACCACCCATCTCTGCTCCTTCCTAAGGACCCATGGGAGATGTCCGGCCCATCGCCTTGAGGGATCAAGGCCTTAGCAGTTCTGCACCTCCCCTCTGTTGCCGATGTCATCCAACATTGTTGATATTCCTCTTGATGTTCCTTTCTGTCTGTCTTCCCAAAGCCCCTTTCCCGTCTCTACTGTAAAAAATTCCCCAAATCTCCTGTTTAGCTCCTCACTACCTTCGATCATTTCTTTTGAGTTTCTCCACCTTTTCCTCAGTCGATCACCCGGCTTTTAAATGTTGTCTTCCTCCTGATGTGGGTATACAAAATTTCGGGTCCTTTATTTTGATGCTATGTTTTTTTCATACTGTCGCTGGGCCCCCTCCTTACCTGTGCATACTCGTCCCGGCTCTGCACGATCTCCCTATTTTCATGTGTTCTCTGCCCTTTTTGCACTTTTTTTTTTTTCCTCATTCACCCCGGGTAAACCAGGGCCGTTCTGGTCTTCCCTTGTTTCTGTTTCCCTTGGAAATAAACCTTTTCCACTGCCTCCTTTCATTTTTTTGTTGCATATTCCATCATTTCGTGTTGTGGTGGTTGACTCAATATTTGTGGTTGCAGGGGGCGATCATAGCTCTGGGCCCCCCTCTTCGCATTGCTACAGGTCCCTCTCTCCCTGCCCCATGAACTTTTTCATACCTGCCTTAAAACTATGTATGGTTTTCCCCCCTCCACTATGTCTCTTTTAGGGCTATTCCACGGGCCCGACTCTCTTGACTGAAGAAATACTTCCCAACATCCCTTTGATTCATCTAAATTTTTTCAACTTCCAATTGTGACCTCTAGTGTCTGTTCCCTTTTTCTGGAAAACCGTCTTTGTCCACCTTGTCAAATTTTGTGCAGTATTTTTATATGTCGTTTATCATGTCCCCCCCGACCCTCCTGTCCTCCAGTGTCGAACGCCGATTTCCCTCAACCTTTCTTCGTAGGGCAATCCCCCACCTCCGGACAGTCTTGTTGCAAACCTTTTCTTTTTCTCTAATTTCTTTACGTCTTTACTAGGTGTGATTCCAAAAAGGTGCTGCAACCCTATGGCCTGACGTAAAAGGGATCAGAGCTTGAACAAATCCCCACTGAATATCGGGAAACCCTTTCCCTAGTTTTTCCAGGGGCGCCCGTATGCTGCAGCAGTTATCGATTGATGTACTCAGGAGTATTCTCGGGTATACTCAACCCCAACTTTTTCCCTTTAGTGAGGTTTCAGCTTTGGCCATCTAAACTATATTGTTCTGCGGTCTTATTTTCCCTTCCCCAATCTTCATACTTTGCATTTGGCAGGGTTAAACCAAGGGGCCAGTTCTGGGCCAGGCTGTAGCCTGTCCGGCTCTTTTTAGTCCTGCCTGATCCCATCCGATTTGATTCTTCTCATTACTCACATCATCCAAACAAGGACACTTCTGAGTCTATCCCTTCCTTTTTTCATTCACATAACCAAGAACAGCACAGGGCCAGGACTGACGCCTGTGGAACCCCCGCGTCACAGGCGCCCACTCTACACCTCGCACGTACCATGACTCGTTTTGCCTCCCCGTCAGGTATTTTCTGATCCATGCTGCCTTTCCTGTTAGTGTGCCTGATCCTCTAGCTTTTGCAGTAACCTCTTGTGAGGAACTGTGTCGAAGGGCCTTCTTGCAGTCCCCAAAAAAGCAGTCGATCACCCCTCTCCCCTTGTCTTTCTTTTTTCACCTTCATAAAACTCCAGTAGGTTTTTGACACAGGATTTTCCTTCCCTAAACCGTGCTGGTTGTCAAATTTTAAAACTTTTTTCTTTCCAGGTGTCCACCCCTCTCCTCCGATGATCTTTTCCATGACCTTTCATACTATATTTGTTTTGTGATAAGTCTTATTTAGTGGGCCTCATTCCTCTCCCTTTTTTAAAAAATTGGGGCTTACATTTTTCCATCTTCCGTACCTCAGGGGGTTCTCAGTTTCAAATGAGTGTTGAAGATCTTTGTTAAT